AAGGTACACTCAGGGGCCTTATTTGGGCCCACACTGCTCTAAATACTGAGAATACATTGGTGACTAAGACAAAATGTCTGCCATCATGGAGCTTACAATAAGTAGGGGACATAAAAATATGCAAAAAATTAAAAAAGGTATCATAGATAATGATAAACACTACATAGAATCTTGAGTTATTAGAGTAACAAAGAATGGGTGAGGAATTAGCTAGAGTAATAGGGATAACCTTTAAATATGTGACATTGAACTGAGACCTGAATTATGAGATGAAAATAAAAGAGCATTCCAGGCAGAAGGAAGAGTCAATGCAAAGACCCTAGGGATGGAGTGAGTCTGGTATGTTCATGAAATGGAAAGGACATCAGAATGGCTAAAGTGTTATCGTGGGAGCAGGAGGGTTCAATAGCAGATTTTAGGAACTTCAAGAGAATGCTTTCTTTTTTTTATTTTTTATTTTTTATTTTTTTAGCATATTATGGGGGTACAAGTGTTAAGGTTACATATATTGCCCATGCCCCACTCCCTCCTTAAGAGCTTCAAGCGTGTCCATCCCCCAAACGTTGCACTTCTTACTCATTGTGGTTGTATACACCCATCCCTTCCTCCCCCTCCCACCCTCCCAACACCTGATAAATGTTACTCCTATATGTCCACGTAGGTGTTGATTCGTTAATACCAATTTGCTGGTGAGTACATGTGGTGCTGGTTTTTCCATTCTTGAGATACTTCACTTAGTAGAATGGGTTCCAGCTGTATCCAGGAATATACAAGAGGTGCTATATCACCATTGTTTCTTAAAGCTGAGTAGTATTCCATGGTATACATATACCACATTTTATTAATCCAGTCATGTATTGATGGGCACTTGGGTTGTTTCCACAGCTTTGCAATTGTGAATTGTGCTGCTATAGACATTCGAGTGCAGGTGTCTTTTTCATAAAGTGACTTTTGATCTTTTGGGTAGATGCCCAGCAATGGGATTGCTGGATCAAATGGTAGACCTACTTGTATCGCTTTGAGGTACCTCCATATTGTTTTCCACAGAGGTTGAACTAATTTGCAGTCCCACCAGCAGTGTAGGAGTGTTCCTCTCTCTCCACATCCATGCCAGCATTTATTGTTTTGGGACTTTTTGATAAAGGCCATTCTCACTGGAGTTAAGTGATATCTCATTGTGGTTTTGATTTGCATTTCCCTGATGATTAGAGATGTTGAACAGTTTTTCATATGTTTGTTGGCCATTATTCTGTCTTCTTTTGAGAAGTTTTTGTTCATGTCCTTTGCCCATTTTTTGATAGAGTTGTTTGATTTTTTTCTTGCTGATTTTCATGAGTTCTAAATAGATTCTAGTTATCAGCTCTTTATCAGATGTGTAGCTTGCAAAAAATTTTTCCCATTCTATGGGTTGTCTGTTTGCTCTCTTGACAGTTTTAGGTATGTCTTCTCTGCTCAGAGTTGAGGCAATAATTACCAGGAGAAAATTTCCATGAATTTCTATGCTTCAAAGAAGTGTTGGTTGGAATCTTACATCTCAGATATGTATTCCTTCAGTCCCACTACACCCTGCATACTTTCAGTAACAAAAAATTCACCACTAAGCAAAACTATCATTTAAGGGAGCTGTTAAAAAATCATTTCCTATTTTGAAAATGCAAATATGTTTGCAACTTTTCCTATTTCCTGCCCATTGGAGCATGTGTTTCTTTTCTTGTGATTGGATAAAGCTTTTCTCTCTTTCTTCTGTCTGCCAAGTAATTGAAGTTAATGCTATATCGCCTTTAATTGCCTCTACATCATGAAAAGGACTCCAGATTCCATTATTATTTCTTGGAGATATGTTGTGAAGACTCTGATCACTCTGAATAATCCCTCCCTTTTAAAGGCTGGTGTCTGAAGACAATAGTCTGACTACTGTCAAATCCTTCGGAATTAATACCTCTCTAGTCTTAGACTGAAGACCTTCATTAACGTAACCAAAGAATAAACATAGCAATATCAACACACTATTGTTCCATATACAGCATCCATTGAAGCTCATAAGAGCTTCGTCTTCCTTATCTAATCCTCGAGGGATTGATTTTGGCAATCTGAGTCTGGGAATTCAGCCCAAATACTCTGCAGCTGTGATGCACACTACACTATCTCACACAATCATAATCATTTGAGCACCAGGTCCTTCAATTAAGTGGACCCCAAGACTCAATTCTCCAGCTTGCAAGGACTAAAGGTCCTTGCCAAAGAAATAAGCTTTCAGAAAGTGTTTAGAATATCTGTATATTCTAATAGGACATGTATATTACACATATACTCATATACATACATGTTCACATACTTACATGGCTCAATGTGAGCTCAGCCTACATTTTATATTATATAAGAGATAGAATAACTAAATAATAATTTTAAAAAACCTTGATGATTTTCAAGGGCTACAATTATCCAGAGGAAAATTAACTATCTTTAACAGTGGGTTTACTATAGTTGGGAAGTAGAATCATGCATGTAAAAAAATTGCAATTGAAAGGGGTGAAATAAAAAGAGATTTTTTGATTCCTCATGTGAGCCCAAATGTTTCAGATAACAATGTTTGGTTTTGTACAGTGTAGAGGTAGACTTGTCATCTGGCTTTATTCTATAACTGTGAATCTGAGTATGGCTGGGGGAAGACAAGGAGGAACTACTATTAATTGTGCTATGTTTGGCACATTGACATGCAAGATCTCACTTCATATCACAATTGTCCGTTTAAGGAAATTCTACCACTCTTGTTTTACGGATGAGAAAAATGAAAATCTAGAGGCCTCAGACTTGGTCACATTTAGTTGAAGGCTGAGCCTAGGACCCCTAACTTGCTAGAAGGGTCTTTCAAGCATTCTTTTTCATCAGTCTATGGAATTTTCTGTCAGCTCCTGTATCCTCTGTTTTTGGGAGCAGAGATTATTGGAAAGGGGCTAGAATGACTTCATTTCCAATTTCTAATTTTTCTTTTCCTTTGTCTTTTTTCTCCATTTCACCTTTCAAAATAGTTCTTCCAATCACATTTCCTTTCCAAATTTCCTCTTGGCCCATGTACCATTTCCTCTTTTAGGATTGTAACAAATAGCTCTCATCCTAATTGATGAATTGGAAGAAATAAGTTACCCTCTCAGAATAATTAACTCATTGTTAGTTGTAAATTTAGAAAGGAATGGAAAGAGGTATTTTTAAGCGTATGCAAGAATTGCAATACAGCACTTAATTTTATCAGTACAAAATGGCTACAATTTAGTGGCTATTTTAAGAGTGATGTCAAAACTGGTGAGAAGCCCCCCAGTTTCTTAATATTCAAAAGATACAATATTAAAAACCTTTCTAAGGAATCAATACTGTGGAAGTCATTTGAAATATAATTTGTGAGATTTCTGAGTTTCCATATATTTTATTATATTGAGTATCAATTGCTATGACTTTAGCTTTGTGTTGGATAACGTATTTTTCAAAGTTCTAATATGTATACATATCATCAAGGAAAAAGAAAGCTTTACTAAATTCCTTTTTATTTTATGTGCCATCTGTACTGTCTGGTAGATTCATTCATTGGTTTAGTTGTTTACACAATTAATACATATTTGTTGGGCATCTACTATAGGCTATGCTTTTGCTAAATACCAGCAATAGGGTAGCAACAGGTAAGATGTGTTCCTACTCTTGTGGGGCTTAAAGAATCTGGTAATAAGAGAGAGGCCACAAATAAGTAAAATAATAGTAATCGTCACCATCAAACTATTATAAACCTGTTACAAATAGGAGCCATGCAGGAAATGAACAGAGAGAGTAATGGGCTGGGAAGTCAGGAAGTGGGAGGCAGCATTAAGATTGAAACAGTAAGCATGAAAAAGAGTCAGTCATGCAGAAGAGTAAGTAAAGAGCATTCCTTCCTCTTGAAAACAAAGAGGAGCCCTTATTTAACAGGTGATACCAGGTACACAGAGACCGCCACTGGATTTGAACTAACCATACAGCAAACCAGCTGCACAGTGGAGATTAGAGAGCTTAGAGGTCCTGCTTCCTGACCTTGAATCATTTTTACTCTTTTCAGTGGCCTGTTTCCTGTTTTCCCCATTTTGCCTTTTTTTTTTGTTTTGCCCTTCTCTCCCTCCCTGCTGTCATCTCCAGTGTTCAACTAGATTTTCCTTTTTCTCTATCCTGGATAATATAGTTTGAATAAACAGACTGAACAGGACAGCCTTAGACAGGTTTATGGGGTGTGCTGGAGAATGTCAAAAGCAAAGCACGACGGAAGCCTGGCGACCCTCATGGAGGCAGGCTTTACATTGTTTCTGGGCAAGAAGGCGGGTCCCCTGCCTCAGCTGACTTGTGCATGGTTCTCTAATAATGGAGTGTTATCTAATTGGTGCTTCCTCTACATCAATGGAAATAGGAGCACAAGACACAGAGACAAAGCAACACGCCAGCAGTTAAGTATAAGTGAGGGTTCAGAGCCATCATTCCAAAGGCCTTGCGGTAATATTTAGAACACGTCCTAATGACTAAGGCATATATCCTTGGGCGGGACAGCTTCATGTAAGAGACATCTGGCATGTATTTTCTGGTCTAAAATTATAGCACTCTCCCCTCAAGCAATTTATATTTCTAAGAAGATAGGAGAGAACGATGATGAAGTACTATCTGACAATTTATTTGTCATTTATATATAAAACAAAAATTAAAAGTCCAGAGCTGTTATTACATTAGGGTAAAAAAACAAAACTGCACACGAGTGAAGGAAGTTTGCCAAAATATTAACTGAAGATTTGTTTCATTTTCTTACCATTCCTGTGAATCTTGTGCATTGAAAGGGCATTGCTAAAGTCATGTTTTCTTTAATTAAAGTAATCCCAGAGACAGGGTAGATTGTTTGCTACGTGAAAGGCTTGACACCCTCGTTCCCTGTTTTTAATCATCTAAAAACAATCAAGTCAGAGGGTGCCTCTCTGTTTCTCCCTAAATCGTTACAGGAAACATCACAGAGCCAAAGGCAAAGAAAACGAACCAAATGCAGGGCTGACCCAGAGAACTTCAAGGCTCTCACAGAAGCTTCTAGTCAATCTTTGTTGGCTGTAAGCAGCTGCCATATGGGAATTTCACTTCAGAAATGTCAGAAGTGGAAGAAAGGGCAAGATCCGTCTATCATAACCTACGGTGGAAGGGGAGAGAGTGAAGAAACTGCTGGGGCGATTCCTTGGCTACACAACAGTAGATGTCCCTTTCTGTGGTGGCCCCAGCTCTCCTGCTGGCCCATGAAGGTAACTGCTGAAGACATGGATTATTTGTAGTCAGGCTACTTCTGGAGCATCTCCCTAGGAATCCTGTCTTGCTTTTTGCTAGTTTCCAAATGTCTTGGTTTGAATTGGCTAACAAAGGGGACGGGGGTGGGGGGGTGGATGTGTGCTTCCCTTCTTAAAGCAATGGCTTTCACACACTATTTCCCATCAGAATCCTATTTCCAAATGTTCCCTGGGTCTCCATATGTGACTCAGAGCAGAGGGAAGCTGCCCGGTATGTGTGGGGAGGGGTTCAGGGTTCTGCCTCATTGCTTCCCTCTCTGTGAGATGATCTGTGGGATACTTTTGGACTTCTTGGGATATAGTCCAAAACCTTAAAGATGTGCTGGCTCTCTGCTTGTGACCTTTTTTGCCAATTCAAAACAATGAATATTCATTGAGCACCATCTATCTGTAACACTGGTGGAAGGTTTTGAGGACATTCAGAAGTGAAAAAATAGCCTGGACCCACTTTTCACAATATCCTCTGCTCCATGTGTGAATTATGCACTTAGTTCTATGGTGATATGAATTCTCTCTTCTCCAGACCAGCTCCACCATGTGCCCCCATCATATGTCCCTTTTGCCCATGAGCATAGTCATGAGTCTGGTAGCAGTTCTCCAACTACCTGATTCCAGTTCCTGCATGTCTCTCCTCACTCCACTCCTGGACCAGCTACCTCCATCTTCCATGTTCTCTGATTTTGGCCCTGTCCTTTGGATCCTCTTGTTCTCTCTAATTGCTTACTTAGACTTTGTAGTTTTTTCTTTCTCTCAGGACTTGTATACAAATTTTTCTTTGTTCTTTGCTCAAAGATTAATACTGCCTATTCCCATGCTCAGTTCTGGCCCCCAAGTCTCCATCCAGGGCTATATATTTTATATGTAATTGCTATATAGTTTATACTTACAACGTTCACCTTAAAAAGTCTTGAATGGTGGGTCAGATTTGAAGATTCATTTCCCTCTCCTTTGGGGTTCAGATCTCTTAATTCTGCACAGAATTAAGCATGAAATTTGACCAATAGCTGTGCCTTCTTTACAGAGTAACTCACATGCATAATAGGTAACTTGCCAAGCAAAAGTCATGGCCAAATTCACGTGGTAGTATCAACTCCTTGTATGTGTGTGCATGTGTGCATGCGTGCACAACTACTCCTTGGTTTAATTGTATGGATTCTTAGCATGTTTTTTGTTTAGTTTTGTTTGCTTCAAGATGACCAGTAACTATAGGATTAGTAATAGAATATGTCAGGATTTTGTAGCTGGGCCCATATTAGACAGCACGCCTCCTCTCCCATAAGTGTGATCAGGACACCTCTCTTGGGAAGGATGAAATTCACTGCCGACAACTCCAATACTTTGTACTTTGAGGAGTCTGTGTTAAACATTAGTATCAGCAATAGTGTGTTGAAATCTCAGATGCCCAGTTAGTCCATGCCAATTTCCTGACTCCTCTGTGGTCTGCCCCCACCTATCTCTTGGTGCTCTTCTCATGCTGCTCTCCCACTCTCAGTCCCTGTGGCCAGTCACTAGTCAGCTGTCAGTCAGTCCCTAAGCTATACCAAGCTTGGTTTAGCAAGGCTTTTGAATGTTCTGCTTTTCTATCTGAAATGCTTGTTTGATGACTGGGCACTTTTCCTCCATATAATTCGAGTTTAAATGTCACCTCTTCAGATGTCTATGCATGTATGTGTGTGTGTACATATACATATATATACACATATAAATTGACTTATGTATGTGCATATAAATAAATATATGCATGCATCTTATATTGTAAAAAACTTGGAAAGTATAAATAGGTATAGAGAGAAGAGACTTATTTTGCCATCTAGATAGATACATTATTTTAGTATATCTCTTTCCTTCAAGTCATACTGCTATAAGAAATGACTATTCTAATTCAAATATAGCTATGTCCTATTTTTTCCACTTAACATTTTATCATGACTTTTTTGTACTTATCAGTAATCTTATTGTACTTACAATTTAAAAAGTGCATAATGTGTCATTTATGGAATTATTATATTTTGTCTATTCCTTTTGTTTGACATTTAATTTATCACATCTTTTTAAAAATATATGTAGCAGTGCAAGAAACAGGTTTGTATATAGCAAAAAAAAAAAGCAGTTAAAGATAAAATCAGAAACTGGTATCTCTATTTTGCTGAGATTTAAATAGGTTTGACAATTTTCTAAATGACCTTTTGTAGGTGTAAGGTCTGTAGTCCTGAGAAAGCTCTTTGAGCTTGAGGGTATATTCACATACATGTGAGTAGATGTTTCTCTGTAGTAGTAGCAGTATGTTAATTCTGATAATCCAAAAGGTCAACCTAACAATTACATATGCAAATATGTTGAAAGTGACTCATTTTTAATATAATTTAAACAAACCATTTAGTTAATTAAGAAGATGACCAAACTTCTGAACTCAGTCAAATATCCAGGTCTTACTGGAAATGGACCAAAACCGAGACAGGCATGTCTTCTGCCTCAGTAATAGCACACGCACACACACTTCTCCACACAATAAACCCTCACGAAAAGAGGCATTATGCCTCATATTTCAATTTATGAATGCTACTAATTGAAATATAATTATGGCATAATGATTTGGAGAATGGCCTCTGGAGTCAGACTGTCTGAATTTAAATCCCAGCTCCACCCTTACTAACTATGTATTAGTACATTTCGGCTGATTCTTTGACTCCTTTACATCATAGTTTTTTTCATCTTTAAAATGAGATTTAATGTTATGTGGGTCATAGTTAATTCTTTGGCATAGATATAATGAGGTAATACATGTCAAGCTTTAGCCCTAGCACATAAGAACACCTCCATTGATGGAAGCTATAATTGCTATTTTATTAGACTCACTTCTTCCATTATTTATGAAAGATCCAGTTTTTACTTCAGTGTGTGATTTGATTTCTGTAAGGAAAACTCCACCAAGAATTATACCAATAAAAGCTTTAAGAGAAGTACCTTCTGATAGGGAGGAACAGGTGATCTGACTTTGTCCTCTTGAGTATCACTTTACTCTTGGGGTTCTTAGTTCATTCATCAAACCACTGTTGGATCCCTGTCTTGTTCCAGGCACTGAGCTAGGTATGAGGGGTTCAGAGAACCATAAAGATAAGTTATGGTCCCTTGTGTCTTGGAGGTTTCTGCTTTTAAATATGCTCCAGTACCTATCAGCAAGTCTTTTTTTTTTTTTTTCTTTTTTTGGAGTCATGCCAAGTTCCTTTTAAAAGACTGGCCTGAGCTTGTGAAGAATTTCTGTGTTCCCAGGATAAACATGAGGTATAATGAAATTAAGAAAAATATTTACTAAGGAAGAACATAAAAGAACTGAAGTCAGTAAGTACAAGCAGTGTCCAATTAGATACCCTTTCAAGGAGCAGATTCCGGTATAGAAGGAAACCAGCCTGAACGAATCAGCACTTTGGTACTTGGCCTCCAAGCCACCGGCTCATTTCTCAGAGATTGTTGATCCCTGGCTCTCTTTCAGACCCCCTGGCTTCTATGAAGCTGACCATTGACTCTTTTTGCTCTGTCTCAAGCTAGATGCAAAAGACTTTTCAACTCACAAATACAAAACATTTTCCTAATGTATTTTCCCCAGGACAGGTTTTTTTTACAGTTAGGAAGCAGGGCTGCCAGACATCCTTTGAGTCCTAGTGAGCCTCCCCACCTAAGTTATGATCCCCACCTACCTCCAAAACAAACCACTGTGATAGATTTTCCGTCCTACCAGGGATGCATCCTATCCATTGAAAGACTCAAAGCAGTGCTGACTAATAGAAATACAGCATGAGCCACACATGTGAGCCACATATGAATCTTAAATTTTCTAATCACTGCATTAAAAAAGTAAAAATTTAATTTTAAATTTTAATTTAAATACAATTTAATTTTAATAACATTTTAATTCAATATATCCAAGTTGTTGACCTTTCAATATGTAAACAAATATAAATTACAAATCAGATATTTCATATTCTTTTCTTCCATACTAAGTCTTTGAAATCCAGTTTTACACTTACAACATATCCCAATTCAGACCAGCCACATTTCCAGTGCTTAATACCCACATGTGGCCAGAGTCGCTACGATATTGGACAGCACAGACCCTGGAAATCCCAAGATCTTCACCACACAGCAATGCTAACATACACACTGCAAGAATTCTCCCACCCACCATTACAGGAGGGTCATTCTCTCATAACCTCTTACTTCCTTTCTCCCATGCACCCTTCCAGTACTAATAAATCAACCCCTCACCCAAGTAGCATACCCAAATGATGTTTCCCACTATGCTTTCAGGAAACTTCCATCTATACTACTCTGGCTCAGTCCAACTCTTCCTATGGTAAGTCAGTGTTTCACATTTCTGTAGCAAATGCCTCAAGCCTCAATATATCATCCTCAGCAAACACCATTAGCAATCTTATTGTACATAGTCCTGGGCTGAGTATGGATTAAAACGAGTAGAACTGGCATATTCCACATCTACTTTGAATCTGACCATGTCTGAAAACTCATTCTGTGTTTATAGCTTTACCTATGTCTTTGCTGATAGTTTTATTCTGTTAACTATTTTATTTTATTTTATTTTATTTTTTTTGTGGGAGAAAACTGATTTGGAAGACGAACAAACACACAGGGTTGCTCTGTTACCTAGGTGAATTAATTGTTCCGTAAGTCCAAATGATCAATTCAGTCTTGTGAGCAGATAAAAATTAATACTACCAAAATGATCTCCTGGAACATGAGCTATATTACACACTTTTACAGAGTTAGTTCTCAATTTTCTTTTCTTTCATCTCAATTTTCTATGGGGAAGAATGGACTAGTCAGATAATATTGTACACTAGTGTGTGAAAAGTAGTTTATTAACTATTTCATTCAGGCTTCACCTCTTCTGAGAAACTTTCCTTTAACTGCCCAGAGTATCCCAGTACCCTGTATCTGTGTGCCTAGAGTTTTATTTGTATATCCTCTAAATTTCCTTCCATCATAGTGTAATGGCTAAAAGTGTGGACTTTGGAAACAGACTCCTGGGTCCAAGTTTTGACTCTTCCATTGATTAGTTGTGTGGCTTGGATGAGCTCTTTAACCTCTTTGTGCCTCAGTTTCTCTGTTAATAATAGTAACTACCTTTTAGAGTTGTTCTGAGCTTATATATATATATATATATATATATATATAGACTTAGACTAGCTGTCTGGCAAGTATTAAATGATGGCTCTTATTATTCCATAATTGCTTTTTTGGATCTTGTTCTCTCAATGACCACTGTCATCTTCAAATATAATTAGTCCAAACATTAAGAATTTCCAAATAAAACATGTTTCTCTATTGCCTTTCCTATTTCTGTCAATGTTGTCATCATTCTCCTTTTTAAACCTGCTCAGAACTTTGGAGGAGTCTTTGATCCTTCTCAATGGTCTTCCTTGTCCAGTTTGTCATGATGTTTATTGTGTTTTGCCTTCATAATTGCACCAAGAGAAATTAACAGGAAGAACACAGAATTTAAAGTCCAATGAACTGTTCTAGCTCCGAAGTTCACAAGCTGAGTGATTTAGAATAATTACTTAGCCTTTACTCCTCAGTCTCCTCTGAAATGGAGAATATTTTAATGCCTATTTCATATTATAGTTGTTTCACACTCCCAAATATATGTGAAAGAGATTTGTCAACTGCATGTGCCATACCCATTGGTAAGGGCTCTTTGTAGCTCTCAACTGCCTGGATTCAAAGGTGGGGACAAGACACTTTGTTCATCACTTTGCAGAACATTTTCTTTACCCCCCTCAGAATTTTAGAATCTCTGTATCTAAAGTGACCTTAAAGGTAATCTAATAAAATTTCTTTTTACAATGCTTTTTTCCCCTAAGAATCCCTGATAATTGGTTTGTTCAGTTTCTGACTAGAAACTCTCTTTGTACTTTAGCATCATCATTATAAAGAAGTTCGTTGCTTACAGGTGGAAACCCCTTCACTATTACTCGTCAATGAATTGGTCCATACTTCCTCGGATGTCTTTGACTAGGACATCCTAAAATGACCATTCTATGGGCCACCTGCTGTCATCTTAATGTGCCTTAAAGCCAACCCTGTATGTGAAGGAAACATTGTCAGCATTGAGTAGTGCCAGTCACAAGGCACAGCACTCGGTGCCTGGTTAAACATCAGTAAGAGCCGGTTGAATGAAAATGAATGCTGAGCTGCGTAAATGAAGGTGAAATGGCCAACCTGTTAGACTGCAACCTTTTGAGTGTGCAATAATGGTATTTGTTCTTCAAAATTTATGAAGGTGTTTTAAGAAATGTAGCAAATCTGAATGAGTCTTAGAAACTTCCATGAATTATTTCTACTGCCTGGAAAACGTTAAAATACTGAATTTTCTTTCATCCAAATCTCATTAAACTGTCAGGCATTTTTCTGCTTTCTCTAGTAACTTATCAAGATATTTGTGTGTGTGTGTGTGTGTGTGTGTGTGTGTGTGTGTGTGTGTATCTTGATAATCAGCTATGATGGGAGAGGAAATACTGAAAAAGTGTTTGGCAATTTAATGAGAGTTTGTGACATCTGTTTTCCAAGACTCAAACACGTGACAAAGTAGTTTGTTAAATTATGGTGGCACTGCAAATTCAAAACTTCTACCCTTTCTGGGTAGAGTCCTGAGATGTCTTTAATGTTTTGAGTATTTCAGTCCTTTGACCTGACTCTCGAATTCCCAACTCCCCATGGCATTACCCTATCCTTCAACCAACTCCTCCTCTTTTTGATATAAACGTCATTGTTTGATAGAAATACAAATTTTCAAGCTAAAATATGGAGCTGGGATAGTAGAATTTCAGGCATAGGTTTATTATACTTTCTTTTCTCTTGTCTCAATCATGACTCCATTAAATCATCTGGCACTGGCTATCAATAAAGTTCCCTTTGGTCCTATTCAAACCCCATGTTTTCTGGGAAGTTCCTGGAGATATTAATAGTACTTGTTTTGTGTTGAAGTTTCAAACAATAACTTCAGGCGAGGAGTTCCTCTGCTCTTTAGTATAGGGCATGGGGCTAGGGAGTGAGGGTGAATGTTGATGAAAGGTGTGATGATGGAAAACCACAAAAAGCAGAAATAAGCGGGAAAATGGCTGACTATTGGGGTCCCTGACAACTATCACAACAGGTGCTTAATTAGATGCTACGCTTTTGAATCCCTTTGTGTCCTGACATGTGGACATTATCACTCTCATTTTATAAATGAAGGTGCTGAGCTCAGAGAAATTAAATGACTCATGTAAGTGGTAGAGTTGCAGTAAGGAAGCAGGCCTGAGGGACTCCAAGGCCTGGCTTTTCTCTCCATCCCATTGAACTCTGGGCTGTCACTTGCCTCCTTTTCCTCTGCAAAGCCTCACAGTATACATTATGGGCTGTACCAGTGCGTTTATGTTATGCCTCCTCCTCTAAGCCACATATATCTGTGACCAGGAATAAACAAGAACTGCTAGGCCTTCCTTCCTCACCAAGACCCCATTGGCCAGGGGATATTCCATGTGCCTTTGTTCACAGGAGAGATGGGGAAACAGAGAGTAAGGCAACAATCCCAGGATTAAATGCATGTCGTGTTTCCTCAAAATCAGACTTTTCACCTAGGAAAAGGCTTACTGATATATCATAAACTGTCAAGTAGATTTGTCTTGAGAGACAACTATATTAACAATAGCACCATGGTGTACTGGGTTCAGACTCATTGGTTAAAGATATTAATGCCTACATCTGAATGTAGTGAGGCCTAAACAAAATACTGTGCATAGCACATAGGAAGGGTTCATGAATGATATAAATTATTACTATTAACACAATTGTAATAAAAATGGTGTGTTCACTATGTTTCAGGCATCATTCTCAACATTATATGGATCTTAACAATTTCGCAACTAGTCCATGAGGAAGGTACTGATATTATCATCATTTTATAGTTGAGGAAACAATATAGACACTGATACTTCGGACTGGAGAGTTATAAATATCAATAATTTGCTATTATTAATTACAGAATTAATTACTAGCATTAATTATACATAATTAGTTATTATTAATATTATCTCATAGATGGTAAAGATCTGCTCTCTCCTCTGGCCACGAGTTTTTTTAATTGTATAAAGTCTATGAGACAAAAAGTAAGTCCAGTCTACCTGCTGACTTACGTAGGGACTACCCCTGCAATTTCTTGGCAATTGGTCATTTGAATATCAAAACATGATCTTTCCCACCATAGCACATCTCCAAATATGAGAAAGTTCCTCCTTGTATCTAATAGAAACCCACCTCCCTTTCCTTTCCACTCAGCACTCCTACTTCTCTCTCTAGAGCTACATTAGTTCCATTTAATCCCTTTTCCACTTCATGCCACTTGAAATATTTTAAGTTTGTGGGCCCAACTCCCTGAATCTCCTTTTCTGCAGGCCATATGCTCTCAGTCTCTTCAGATGTTCCACATGTGACGTGGTTACTTAGCTACTCAACACTCTGGCTGCACTGTTCGGGACACATTCCAGGTAGTCATGCCCTTGTCATCTGAGATAAACAAGATGGAGAGTAACAATCTAGATGGTGGCGTGGGCTGAGAGAAGGGAGGGTGCCATGCCGTTTACCTGTGTGGTGCTGGGGAAAGGGTTGGATCTCTGCAAACTGAAATGTTCTAGGCTTTGCGATGGAACTACTATTAGGTTTGTTGTGAATACAAAGTGATATATAATAAACTATATAGAGTCCCTGGTACCTGATTTTCATTCATGTATTCATTTATTTATTCTACAGTAATAGAATAAAGACTATTCTACAAAGAGTCTAATGAGCCAAACTGTATGCCCTTGGGAATACAGAATGAGAAGATAGAATCTGTGATGTCATGAAACATAAATTCCCATTTGTTAAGGTAGAATAATTTGTATTATATCACGTCCTTGATATGTAATTAGCATTCTATTATTGTAATTATTGGTTCTGTATATTCTATAAGTTTGCAATTCTTTTGAAACTAGATGCCAAACTTTATGTTTTTACCTGCTTCACAGAACCTGAGCTCTGTGAACAGATCACCTGGATTACGTCTCAGACAACTAGCTGTATGATTTAGGGTAAGTTCTTTCACAGATCTATAAATTGGGGAAAATAATAATTCATTCTAATAAGATTGTGGTGAATATTAAATAAGAAGATATGTGCAAAGTGCTTTGATCAGTGCCTAGTCCATAGTTAACACACAATTGTTCAAATTTTAGCCATTGTGTGATTATCATTATTGTTAGTATTATTATGTTAGCCAGTTATTTCAGCCTGTTTGTTTTTAAAACAATGACCAAACATTTGTAGAGCTACTTTTGGCAATCCTGTCTTATCCTGGTAGGATAATGGCTTTGTTACTGACCTCAATAAACTCCCAATCTAATGGAGGAGATGCACATCTATATAACATACTCTAATACCATGTTCTAAGCACAATAGTAGCATATGTGTAGGAAGTTAAAGGGAAGAAATGAAGGAAAGGGTTAACTAACTCTCAGGATGATCAGAAGATTGATTCTAACTGTAGGATCTGATGCCTGATCTATGTTTTAAGCAATAAAATAGAGTTATCCCAATTGGTCTTTTTTGACCAAATAAATAAATAAATCACATAATGTTAATATTTCCAAATAAATAATTTCAAAATGTTGTCTTCACAGTATGATTTTCTCTTGAGAGAAGTTCTTTCATTCACTAGGAAAATGCCACTTTTACCTTGCAGCGACAGATCAAGTGGGTTTATTTTTACACACACATCTGCTGGCTACCAACAGTCACTTTTCATTTACAGAGAAGGTCAGCAAATTTGGAACATTGGCCTTTTTGTAAGAAGGAAACATGCTATCTCTCTTTACTATTCTGTAGCCCCTTTAAAAACTTTGCTATGAGACCATTTCCATAATAAAATGTGTAGTATAACACAGATTTCTATGGTCATTTCCCATCTCATGAAAAATATTGCAAAATGTTCATTTATTCTTTCTTGTTTTAGAGACATAAATTGCATTCTATATAGCATTTTGTGTGCTTTCAACTTCAACTTTGGTGCAATAGCTTGTTTATGGGTTAAGCAGTAAATAACTTTTAAGCATGGTGTGGTCTATAAACTCAACTCAATTTTTTTTTCTTTATTTTTAATGAGAGCATCTACTCTAGCAATGGCTATAGTTACACACGTCTTCCACAAAGCATTGTGTTTATTGCTTTAAAGGATCACACTTAAACTTTTTTATGTGCTTTAATATTAAATTAGAATTTAGAAATTTTCATAAACAAGAGCATGTTAGAATTATTTGTACTTTTCTGCAGCCTTATAACATATAATCTATTGTGTAATTATGTATTTATATTTTTAGCAAGGCTATCTATGTACAACATCATGCTATTTGTGGATGAAGTAATACATTTTAGATTGTTACCATATTGTTTTCCATCTATTATGTCAGTGTTTTTCATTATACTAAGATACAGCTATAGTATTGAATGCCCTTTTATCTTTTTCTATCGATTATAAAACTTAAGCATAAGCTTCTAAATTGTCATTAAGTTTACTGAGATTTCGTGAAACATTATCTTGAGTAATGCATGATTATAAACATTCCTGAAAACTCTGTGCTCATATTTATCACACTTGCTTACTAAATGTCTTGTTAATTGTGATGGCTTAGTACTATATTATTAACTAATATTTCAAGACAAAGATATACATGAAGTGAGATTCATAGCTAATTTTAGTGAGTGTAAATCCACTGTGCAAATAGAATTCTTAATAATTTCAATGCATTAATTGATGTTTTGCCATTTTAACTTGAAGCTTTTTAGGCTAATCTTCCAGTTTGCAAGGGTTAGTTTAATTAAAATGCAATAACATTGTCCTTAAACCTCCAGAGCAGAGCCCATGCAGCTGCAGCCCAGGGGAAGGATGTAGGCTGGGAGGCTGGCCTGGGGACACTGCACAGAAGAGGAAGGGAACTGCCATTTATTGACCATAAGTTCTCTCCCCAACTGAGTGTCCCTTATGCAAAATTCAATTATATGCAAATTTACATCTGTGTATTTTTGTGGCAACCACAGAAATTTGCTTCCAGAATATGCAATTTTTGTGACGCCTATTATAGATAATTAGAAAAAGAGGGAGCAAGCATGGGAAATAAAGCATGGCAGAACAGTAAAGGACATTTTTTTGGAAGCTTTGAAAAAGGCAATGAGGATGAGGAAAAATAAAATCTAATTTTAGACATGCATTCTGCAGGCGGCCATGAGGAAGCAGTAGACTAGGTGTAAGAAGTGCTGTTGGAGTGGGTCTGGGGAGACTCAAGAGCTGGAGGCTAATGGGGCATTCAGCATGCTTGGAGACCTAAGATCCCACCGGCAGGCATGGAGGACCAGCCTCAGAGAGCAAGCTGGTAAGTAAACAAGTATCCTGCTATGTGCATTATCTCAACCAAGCTGAGAACATATTTGCAACCCAGTAGAAGTTATCCCCTGAAGCATTTCTAGTGGTAAGAAATTCTAAGTGTCCATGAATAGTGAAGGATTTATTACTGCACATTTAAAATGTGTTTTATTTACAATGATATCTTCATTGTTGTATATTAGTAAATTGAATATTTACTTATAATTTTTATAGATTTATTAGTAACCTCAGCTCTTCATCCCACTCTCCTCAGGTTCCTCAAATTAAATTACCAGCCCTTTGACAATTCACCTACTTAGTAGGTTTTCAGGATTGGCCTCTTGAGTTTCAAAGGACATGCTTTTATCAGAAATATCACTAGGTACTTTATTTATGCTCTTTAATCCTCAAATCTATTTAGAGTCTAAACAAATGCTAATCATTGTAATAAATAGACACCATGCACTTGTGTGCTAAACTGTTAGGTATTAGTGTTAGTGTTTTTCAGAAAAGAAATCAGATGTCCAAAGAATTTGGAGAAATATTAATTGAACTAAAATATCTTTACAAGTTTTCTATTGCTGCTGTAAAAAATTACCACAAGGTTTAGTGGCCTAAATCAAAACAATTTTCACATAGTTCTGGAGATTAGAATTCCGAAATGGATCTCACTGGGCTAAAATCAAGGAGTTGGCAGCGTCTGTTAGAGGATGCTTCTATTGCTTGGCTTGTAACCCTCTTCCACCTTCAACGCCTACTTCACTCCAATGCTTCCTTTTGTCTTTACATCTCCTTTCTTGACTCTGGCTTTCCTGCTTTTCTCTTTTACTTATAAGGACCCTTGTAATTATATTTTTTCCACTTGAAAAATCCAGGCGACTCTCTCCATCTCTAAATCCTTTGACTTAGTCACATCTGTAACTTACTTTTGTCATCCAAATTAACATTCAGAAGTTTTGGGGATTAGGATGTAGATACTTTGCGAGCTGTTGAATACCATATAACCCCAGATTTGTCTAAAGGTAGTGTCTAAGAAACTTGTATTTTATATTCATTTACTTATTCAATAATTTTTTATTCATACCTGCTATTTGCAAGTCTGTGTACTAAGTCCCGAGGACATAATGTTGAACAAGATAGTCACAATCTCTGCAGTTTAAATGTGTCCTAGGCTAGCTGAAATTTCCTTACCTATCCACCTCTCCCCCACCTTTACCAAGATACTAATTGATTAAAATTTATCCAGTTTGTTCAATGGACACCTCACGTTGGCTGGAAAGGGGAAGGAAAGAAATATAAATTAGGTCTGTAGTCCTAAAGATTACTCAACCTAGATAGGAAGGTGAAATTATACACAAAAAGGATAAAGGCAAAGAGATAAAGGAAAAACTGCAATGAATTTGTCTTGGGAGAGGACTATCGTTGTATGAAAAAAATATCTTTTCAAGTTCTTGGAGTAGAAGAGGTATAATCTGAGATCCTTGCAGTTAGTAAACAAACAGCTTCAGGGAGGTAGACATTTACCCTGCACGGGTGAGAAGAAAGGATTTATTAATTTGATTCTGGGAAGAAGGATGAGAGAAGGAAGGAAAGTTACAGGTCGATCAGGAGATGGAGATCCAGGAAGACAGAAACAGTCCGGGACTACTGACTAGCTATTGATGCATACTGTTTAGAGTTAGGGGATGGGGACCTGGGGAGACAACGGACATTTTTAAAAAGAATGAGGATATCTAGTTAAAGGTTAATGTTGTATGTGCTCTTGCAATTAAATGTACCTTTCACTTCTACCGAAAATTCTCAATTTGGGTTGCTGTGTTCAAGAATTCTTGCTGTGAGTGGAGGGGAATGTAAGTAGGTGCTGAATTAATGAATTACAGCACAGAGATGGTAGGGAATGGCCTGAGAAACCTGGAGGAAAAGGGTGTGTGAGATATAAGGCCAGGAATTGGCAGACATCTTAGAGGCTGAATTTTACTCCTACGTATTCTAGAATTGTCAGAGGGGTCAAGAGATTTTTTTTATAACAAGATCATGAGGGAAAGAGATGTCGCTGGCTGGTATCTGGGTTATTTGAATCTAATAGGGGGTGTAGACTTCAGTGGTTGTTATAGTGGCACAGGTAACATGTGGACCTGAGCTCAGAGGAAGAAGATGTGATATCTAAATAACCTTAAGGGTAGGCAAGGATAGAAATGTAAGTAAAAAAGTAAGAAGGACATCCACATGTATTTTGTACCCCCTAAGGAGCTCTGTGCTAGGTGATCTATTTATGCTAGCTCTAACCACACACTCTGAATTAGGGATCTCCATCCACTTTCATTAATGTATTAATATATTAATTCACCTAATATTTAGTGGGCATTATAGGGTCAGTTTTATCTATTAGCTTAATTAGTTTACAATTGCCAGTTATTCAAACCCTAGATATTGCTGTGAGGATATTTTATAGATGAGATTATAGTTCATAATCAGTTGACTTTAAGTAAGGGAGATTACTTCATATATTCTAAGTGGGGCTGATTTAATCTGTTGCAAATCCTTAAGAGTGGAGCTAGGTATTCCCTGACAAAGAGGAACTTGCTCTTATGCATTGCAGCTTCAGCCTGTGCCTAGGAACTCCAGTCTGCCTTCCTGCTGTCCTGCCCTGCCCACAATCACATAGACCCATTCTGTGCAATAAATCTCTTAAAATATATCTCTTACTGATTCTATTTTCTCTGGTTAAGCCCTGACTGATACAGACACAGTGATGTTTCTGTTTTGAATCCACCACCATATGGTTTTTCTCTGCTTTCCCTCATTCTATATTCATGTGTCCCACAGTGAGAATCCAGCTCTCAGCAGCACCATTCTTTCTTTCCCACTTAGTCCTTCCCAGTGTCTTATAGGAGACTTCCTTCCTCCTCTCAAGCTTTTAGGGTCACAGATTCATTTTTTGGCTGTATTCATTTTATAATCAATCTAACTACTGAGTTCTTTATTTCAAAGTTATATTTTTATAGCCTAAAAAGCCAATTGGTTTTTCTTCAAACTTCTTGTTCCTGCTTCATGCAGAAACTTTCCATAGCTCATGGAGGACATTTATTATGATTATTACAACATTCAAACATTATATTTAAATGCTATGAAATTTAAATATGTGGTCTTTGTGTATTTATTTTTATATCCCAGCAGCCAGCAAAGTGCTCGATATACAATAGGTGCTTAAAAACCATTTATAGAATAAATGGACTGTCTATTTTAGGTTAAAGATGTATTTCTCAGTTAGACCATGAGATGCTTAGACACAAAGACTGTATATTCATCTTTGTGCCCCTTTCATAACTTTTCATGGCTGCAGAGAATGCATTGATGGATTAAAGGGTATTCAGGGTTGACTAAACAGTCAGATGGCAATGCTGATGTTCAGATATTGGAGCTAAAGCTGGTTAAATCCTCAGTGCCCCTGATACAGATGACTCTGGGGTTGGTGTCAGAGGTTTGCATTTGGGGGCCAGGATACCCTGGTTGTGGAGAGAAAGAAAAATAAAAAAAGTGACATTATAAAGGTGAAATAAAGATAACTTTGAATGCAATCAATTCCTTCAAAGGGTAAAATATATTCACTGGAAAATATCTGAAGGGCCAGATAATCTATTCTTCAGCATAATTAATGCTCGAAATAATTTTAATTATTCACATTTACAAAGCATGGTCTCTCAGCAATACATGTCACAATCATACTACTAGTTTCCCCTCAGCAACTAAGTTGGGTATGTCAACTTTAAAAATCCTTATATGGCTAATGGAGAAATTTGATATAATCTCCATGGGGAGAGAATAGAACACTCAGGATGAAACCTTCTAGCTTGGTAGACTCAATCCAGAGTAAATCCCAAGAGGTAAGCCACTTCCAATTAAATACAGGCATGTTTCCATGTGAGCCTCAGAGCCTGCTCTTGACTGCAGGCAAGAGTGTTTGCTCATTTCTCTCCCTGAGGATTTGGGAACTCCCAGAAGTTAATGATAGGCTTGACAACCAACATCCAGGTGGAAAGTGAAAACGGCTTTATAAAACCAGCTGTTTAGAATACATAACAGCAAGCATCCAGATGTTTGAGGACTCTGGTATTTGGAGTGAAACTTTCCCCCCTCTAACCAGCTGAGAAAGATCAAGCTAGCAGTGGAGTATGGGTCTCATGTAGGAGACGCTGCACCTGAAACCTTGCTTGCACTCAGGTGGCATGCAGTAAAAGGGTACTCAGCGTTCATCTTTGTCAGACAGGCTCTTGCTCACTGACACTGTGGCTCAGGCTCACTTCTGCACTTACACTATGGGGAAAGACTTCCAATCTGAACTTACACCTACGCAAGCTGTCTTCAGACTTTAGCATTTCCTGAATTGCATGAAGCTTTCTACTCCCTAGTCTCTGAGCTTATCTTACTGAGTTTTCTTTAATAAACTTTCCTAACATTCACTTTTGTACTTGATTTTATGCTATCATGTATCATTCATTGGTATCTTCCATACACTTCCATAGCCCTTCATGCTATATGTGGATTTCATTAACTCGCACTTTCTATAGATTTTTCTTAGCTTATGAGTTTCTGATATTTTATCTGGGAAGAAAAGAAATGTTGTAATGTAAGCATGTTGGTGAGCACCATAATGTTCTGAAGGTGAACTTGTCAAATGTTAATATTAATTATAGCCTCAAAGGAATTCCCGATATTACCAAAGTCTCATATGTACTGTGTTTTATTTTTTACCTGGGGTCTGCTTGTTCCCATTTAAAAATTAATAAGAGTTCTAAAATAGAAGAGACCTTGTCTTAATGCCATTTCCCCAGTGTAGATGCTTAATGATGTCTATTGAATCAATCAATTAATAGAAAACATATGGGTTACTTTATGATTAAAAGCAAACATATGAGGTCTGTCTTGAAAATATCCAGCCACAATTTTCATAATTTTTCATATTATATGGCTGGATATTTTCTGGACAGATCTTATATTATGAATTTTATT